GTCGCTCCTCCACCATCCCAACATCCCCATCATTACAGGCCGGTCATACCCTAATGAGCCGTCCACAGACGACGACGACGACACGTCGTCATCAGCCATGTGGCAGAAGGACTGCAAGATGTGACTACCAGCACAATTGACAACTTTTATGACTTTACATCTACACGAATCCGGGTGACCCGGGCAAGTATTTCGGCGAAAAGAAGATTGCCCTGCTGTAACAGTGACATCTCCAGTGTCTATGGCCTGACCAGGATTCCTGTACAAGTACCTCCCCACCAGTGGAACAGTTGGGGCATGAGGTAACAGACCTCAGCATTCTGTTAAGTGAAGTCTCTTGCTGCTGGATTGGTGTGGGCTATGGGAACAACAGCCCAGGACTGAAAGAGATTGGTAGCTGTGGGCTGTGACGAGGGAATTCTGGCCAGGGCACATAGGGCACTGCAACAACAAGCTCATTTGGGGCCTCACGAGAGGGGTCTATGCATTGTAGTGCTTGATTAGAGTCCAGAAAATTTTGGGATTGTGAAGTGCATGGCTCTGTGACAACACACACACACACACAAAAAAAAAAAAGGATAGCGGAAACCACAACTTGAAGACACCGTACCACGGTCCAAAGGGTGGAGGGAGGGGAATGGGAGGTCGGCCTGCCTACATGAACTGGGGAACATGTCAATCACAAGTGACAGTACTGGGCTCCAAGACTGGTATGGCAGCTGGCAGGCTGAATGGGGAGAAGCACGGCACTCATCACGATCTGAGTCCAGCGCTCTTCCCAGCAGCCATGGAGCTCATGTGCACTATCACTCTTCGTATGCGGTCGTGTAGGCAATCCCTACTTAGCAGGGGGTCCAACAGCTAACTGGCAGTACATCTATAACACTGGATGCAACTCTGTTTAGTCGAACAAAAAACAACCACAATGTTCGGGGACGCTCTGGACCCGGTTTCCTGCAGGTTGTGATCCCCACCAATAGATCGAGCCTCCCCGGACTGCTAGTGGTGCCTGCTCCTATAAGAATCCCTAGCACCAACTCTGGTTGTTGAAATTAAAAAAAAAAAAAAAAAAAAAAAAGATGCACCCAAAATGAAACAAAAATGGGGAAACTAGGCGGGAGTCACAGAAAATGAGTTAA